GGCTGCTGTTCAACCCCCCTCGGTCTTCTCTTCTGCAGACTCAGTCAGCCCATTTCCCTCAGCCTCTCCTCACCAGTCCTGTCCCCCAGTCCACAACTATGTTGGTTGCCCTCCACCGGACTCTCTCCAACATGTCCACATCCTTTCTGTGGTGGGGGGCCCCAAAAAGTCCCCCACTGAGTTCAGAATTCAGTGCTTAGGGTAAGGGGAACCTCCTGGGCCTCCACACTGTCCTTTTCCATGGGGAACCTCTCTCACCCCTAAGTGTCACCTGCTGGGGTTTATTTGCCCTCCCCCAGGGCGGATTTGATACATGCCTGAAAAGCCCAAATGACTTGCACCAAAAGCACGTGCCAGATTGATGTTGAGACTATCGCAGACACAACCTCACCCCAGCACGGCCACACGAGTTACTTTTTCCACGTGTGCCCTAAGTGCTCCCCTGACCAGAGACACCAACCCCCTCCCTCCCCTAACAACCGTTAAACTTGGTTGTTCTCCATTACCGGTAGGACAGCAATGGCCAAAAGCCTGCACATGATGATGATGATGGCAGAAAAGAAACTGCACCCCTCATTAGAAGAGCAGCTCTTAATCAAGAGCCTGCCAGAGCCCAGTCTGCAGCTGGCCACGTTCGGCCCCTCCACGCAGCAGGCTGGCCAGAGTTTCTTCATTTGGCATCGCCCGAGCTGGTCCCCCGGACAGGCAGAGCCGGCGGTGACGCCTCATGTGCTCTACCTGCAGGCACAGCAGCGAAGAGACAGCTCCCCGGAGCCGGCTTTCCCATGAGAATTACAGTGATAGGGGAGCTATTTACTATCCAAAAAAATCCAGCTTCAACATGGTTTAAGCAAACATGTCCTGGAAACTCCAGCCAGCAGTGCCACGTGAGAGTCATATGGGAGCCCACAGTCGCAGATATAAGCACGGCAGCAGGCCCAGCTGCTAACACGGCTGTGGCGAGGCACACACCTTTCTAACCGCTTCAGAAAAACACTCGACCTCTTCCACTATGAAGGGAAGAGCCGCCTTTCTGCTCCTCTCCTTGGCCCTTTTCTGGTGCTTTGGTAAGTAACCTTTAACGTGGTATCTGCCAGCCCCGCAACCAAGGCTTTGTGCTTTGCTTCATTACGGCACCGTGTCTTAAGAACCCATCCTTTACGTTCAAAACCGTGCTAGCTGCGACCTTGTCAGGAACTTTGCTGGAAAGCCACATGTTTGATGAGTCCGCGTGGTTGTCCTGGATGGACGCTCCCACCCTAGGCTTTTTTCTGAGTGTGTCACTTTAGATATAAATCCACACCGGTGAAGTGTCAGGTCCGGATGGTGCAGTGGTCTACCCCGACCTAACTGTGACCTGAGGTGCTGGGGGCTTGGGTGCACTGATGGGAGACTGTGAACTTTGCAGTACGTGGTGTAGATTTAGGGCAGGGTGGGCTAGCGTGGTCCCGCCAGTGTTCACTGTGAATAACTGTCAAATTTTGGAAGGTGATAAGCTCTTTCATTCTGCCGGACTATTTTATTGCAATGGCTTTGTACCACTGAGGGCTTTGCTCCCATGTCTGCAATGAAGGATGCAGCTCCTTTTCTTGGTCGTTTTAGAGGCTGCTCTTAGCCAAGAGAGTCCCGACGTGACCAAGGACATTTCTTCTGGACTCGAGCGGTGCAGGAGCGATGTTGAGGCTAGTATTGATCGAGCCCTGGAACGACTCACCAGGACGTCTTTACAGGTAATGCATGGACGTCCAGGCAGACTGGGTGGAGGGGTCTTCCCAGGTCACCTCAAATGATCCTGATAAATGGACTGGAAGGTGGTGGTGTTATAGATGATAAAATAATAGACTGGAGACACCACCTTCTCCAGGGGGTTCAGACCCAAATAAGCCAGAAAAGGCTTCTGTAGCAAATGACGGACCAAAGTCACGCACCGAGCATAGCACTGCGGGTGCACGGCAACACCACGGCGGGATGCTCTGGGAGACAGCGGGACAGGGAAGGCGATCGACAGCTGCGTGGTTCTTAACGAGGCCCTAAAGCCACTCATCTGCGTAACTGAGGCACAGGCTTGATGACTTATGTGAACTGGGGCTAGATCCCGTTCTATAATGTACACGGTCATTTCTCCCCTACTTTGGCAGCCGGATTGAAACACCGGGTGCTTTCCAGAGGTCTTGGAGGCCTGCCCCGCTGCTGCGAGAAGAGCCCCTGGTGCCATCGGTTCATAATCCTCTCTAAAGCAAGGCATAACGTGGTGCTCAGCTCCACTAATCGCATGCCTGACAGCTTTCCACCCCCGCAGCTGATAGCCACGCTCTCTGCCGGCTCCGGCCCCCGCTTCAGCTCTGCTGGAGGGAGCTGCGCTCCGATGGCCTGGTGCAGCGCGAAACGACCCCAAAGGTTGCTCATTGCACCGGAGGAAAGAGGTTAACTAACCAGCCTGGGCCTGAACGGGCACCTGTGTCCTGCCAAGGGGACCGTTGCAGGACTAGTTCTGCTATAAGCATACCCCAAACCCACCCTCTCGCTTTCTTTTCTTTTCAGGCAAAATGAACGCGGTCTTTGCAAACTGGAGAGTGCTGGACAATAGATGCCCTTCCCTTCCCTGCATGCAGTATAAAGCTACTTGTGCAGTCTGAACACGCGTGCCCTGCTGGTCTCCAGAAGCTTTGCCCGTGCTACGGCCCCCTGATTTGCATATTTAATAAAGCGTATTCAGCATCTCAGGTGCCTGTTGCCTTTATTTATTGTTAGCACAAAGGACTCCTGCAGCCTGGGCTTCTGGAGTTTCTCCCTTTGTGACTGATGGTGCTCAGAAATCGAGGAGGGATATAATCAGCAGCTTGCAATTCACTTGCGAGGAGGGAGAGGAGGGAGCTCGGGGGGGAACGGGAACTGGAAACAAAGCCTTCCTAAAATGACCTGCCATTTCACAAATGGGTTGGGGGGGGCTGGGATTTAAACAGACCAAGTCACGCTAAGCTGATGTGTGTGCATGTGTGCATTTCACGTGTGAAATAAAGACTCCCTCTGCCCTATTCTTCCTTGCTGTGAGGGGCACTGCAGAGTGGCCTAGACTAGTGGTTTTCACCCTTTTTTCATTTGCAGACCCCTTTGCAAATTTTGAATGGAGGCATGGACCTCTTTAGACTAAGTGTGGGTATTCACACACGCTTTTGATTGAGCATAGTCCTCTTTCATGGACCTCTTAGACACAGCCTGCAGACCCCCGGGGTCCACGGCCCGCAGGTTGAAAAGCGCTGGCTTAGAGGAACCCTTTCCCGTGCAGAAATGGTGTTTGCAATTGGGCAAGAACCCCTGAAACAAACCCAGAGCAGAAACCGGGAGGGGCCGAGCAGCCCAAACTCTGTCTCTGCCCATCCAGCTCCTGCACCCGCGTACCGATACCAGTCACACGCCACTGACCCCGGCACCCCACGGAGACGTTCGGCTGAGGGGCCAGCCCACGAGCAGCGTTGCCAGACAGACCTTTCTTCTTCTTCCCCTCTTGCATTTCCTTATGAGTTTGCAGTCTCCCTCCTGGCAAAAACAGTGAGGCTGCCAGGCAAGGAAAGGGGCGCCTTGGTTAAGAAACTAAAACAATACAAGCTCCGGCCTGGCGAACATTAAGTGGATTGGAAATAGCAACTCTTACATGGCCCTAAAGTGCGGGATCATCACGAAATGGAGAAGGGGGCCAAGTCGGGTGACCTGAAATGATGCACGTGGAGCACTTGGACTTTGTATTCACTTCATGGTCTGCCTGTACCAGAAGGGCCTGAGCAAATCCAGCCTAGCTGGCCATTTCACCTGAAGGACACGGGCCTCGGGACCAGGACTGCTGCCTTGCTGGCACTTGGTGGATCCAGTGGTGGCCTTAGGGCAGGAGAGTCATTAGGGAGAGTCATACCTTAGAGGTATGTCCTCAGGTCAATATTAACCCACCACGGTTGTACTGTGGAGCTTTTTAATATTCTTTGGGGGAATTAGATAAATAGCTGAGTGTTAAAATGCAAACAGAGCCATTTCCTTGCAAGAACTACACAACCCTCCCCAAAAATGTGGGACCCCTAAAGTGTGGGGCCCCAGGCAGTCACCCGGTTGGCCCTCCCGTAAGGCCACGACTGGGTGGTTTCAGCCGCTCCGCCTGTTCCTAGGGTGTTTTGGGTAGGAGGCAACTCTCCAATCCCCCTTTGAAGGTGAAAAGCAACATGCTTGAAGAGGCCTGGCCGGGGAACCACGCTCACCGGCGGGCTACGCAGCCCCGTCCTCCCTCTTCTAAGCATGGATTTCCCCTTAGGGGGCCACCGAGAAGAGAAAGACGCATTCCAGGCTCATGACAATTAGAGGAAAAAGAGGATTATGTAGAGTCTGAGGTTGCCAACAGCGCCATTATACGAAGCATTACCACCCGCTGCGTCTCCAGAAGCAGGTTTATTAAATATCCATGCAGCGCTTATCTTTTTCAGACGAACCGGGCAACTCTCTTGTAAAGGAGTCTTTCTATGGGTCACTCTCTCTCTTTTTTTGCTCCCTCACTTCAACTGGTTTTTTTGTTGTTGTTTTTTTTTTTTAAATCATATCCTTATGAGAGATGAGCATTTGAAACGAATTGACAAGAGCAGCCCTCTCACTCACGTCAGGAAAGAAAAGCAGCAATTTTTTGCTTTTCACATAGGAAAAAAAAAGGCTTGTTCCAAAAAATCCCGATGGGCTCCGGCAGCTGCAGCAGGATCTTTTGTCGGGGACGTATCTGTTTTGATAAGTTGCCTCTTCTCCCACCCACCCTGTCCGCAAGGGCTTCCCTTCTCTCGTTTTGCTGAAACCCAGACCCTCGGGACGTTAGGTGGAGGGGCCGCTGGGGAAGCAACTTGACCGGCGACCTCCAGCCGTTCAGGGACCCTGCCGCTCTCACGGCACGTCCTGCACCCTCTCCGGGACGAGCATCTCACGTGCCCTTATCAACCTCAGGGGTGTTGGTTGTAGCCGTGTTGGCCTAAGGAAATAAGGCAGACAAGGTTCTTTGGATCCAGGTAATATCTTTGATTAGACCAACTAAACAAATGACCAACCTTATAATGAAGTCATTGCCTAACTTTAAGACCACTGAAAGGCTAGCTAATTACCAGGAGAATCACCGTGATGGAGATCGCTTCCTCCGCGATGCCTGACGAGGCTCTGAACTCCGCAGTTAGCAATAATAATAATAACGATGATGGTAATAAGAGGATGAAACCAAAGGAATCCTGGGAATAAGACTGACCCTAAACTCAAGGATGCTGTTCCCAACAGGTGCAACAGAAGACGTCCCAGCCTGCAGACTTCACAGCCGTGGAGCGAAGCACCGTGGGATGCCTGACCGCGATGCCGAGGGCTTAACTTGCCGCTCTGAAGCGCCGAGGTTTCATCGCGGGATCACGAGGCGGCCTGCACACCCCGCTCCTGCCACGGGGGCTCCACGTCGCTGCACACGGATATGCAAAGCCGGAGCAGGACTGAATGCTGGCACGGCCCTGAGGGGCTTTGCTGAGGGACGTGGCCCTGGTGCTCAGTACACAGCATCTGCCCTCAGGCTCCTGCAGAAGCAAAACTCCCACGGCGTGTTGTACTCTCATGAGTACTGGCGAGAGGGGGCATTAAATGCAGGTGGGATGGGGCAACTACACAAAGCTCTGCAAGCAGATTTCAACTCAGCAGGCCACGTGAAGTATCAGTCTCTACCCTGCATCGGGTCCCTACAGTGCACACAGGCAGGGATGATTGTGCTGCTTTTTATTAAGGAAAAGGACCTGGGGGTGACAGGGGGCAGTAAGATGGATATGAGCCAGTGCGCCCTTCTTGCAAAGGCGGTTAACAGCATCCTGGGCTGCATTGGTAGGAGCATTACCAGCAGGTCGAGGGCAGCGATTCTTCCCCTCTGTTCAGCACTGGGGAGGCCTCATCTGGAGTCCTGTGTCCAGTTTTGGGCCCCCCACTACAGAAAGGACGTGGACACATTGGAGAGAGTCCAGTGGAGGGCAATGAAAACCGTTGTGGGGCTGGAGGACAGGACTGGTGAGGAGAGGCTGAGGGACCTGGGCTGATTGAGTCTGCAGAAGAGAAGACCGATGGAGATTGAACAGCAGCCTTCACCTCCCTGCAGGGGGGCTGCAAAGAGGATGGAGCTGGACTGGTCTCAGTGGGGGAAGGTGACAGGACAAGGAGCAATGGGCTCAAGCTGCAGCAAGGAAAGTTGAGGTTGGATATTAGGAAAGTCATAGAATCACAGACAAGGAGGGTGGAAGGGAGCTCAGGGGTCACTTCTAGTCCATCCCCTGCTCCAAGCAGGACCAGCCCCAACTCCATCATCCCAGCCATGGCTTTGTCTACCTGGGCCTTAAAACCTCCAAGGATGGAGACTCCCCCACCCTCTGGGTAACCCATTCCAACGTTTTACTGCCCTCCTAGTCGGAAAGTTTTTCCTAGTATCCAACCTCAACTTCCCTTGCTGCAACTTGAGCCCATTGCTCCTTGTCCTGTCATCTGCCCCCACTGAGACCAGCCCAGCTCCATCCTCTTTGCTTTCAAATCCCTGCTCATTCTTCTCTTCTCCAGACCAAATAAGCCCAGTTCCTTCAGCCAGGTTTTCCATTGCTTCTAACAACCCCAAATGTCGACGTGGATGGCAATCACTGTTTCACTAGCGGTCAGACCCAGGACTCCCAGAGGACCCAGCCCTGTGCCCCATTACAGGATGTGATGCACACTCACTCACACACATGCACTCACGCACGCACACACACACTCAGTGACCCAAGGGTGGAACTCATTCATCACGAGTGACTGTGTGGAAACAGGGAGGAAGAAACATAAGAGCAAGCAGCTCGAACTGGGGGGGTTGGGTTTCCTGGCTACAGACCCTGCAGGCTCCCAAAGCAAGTGGTCCCCCCACTCATGGAAGAGCAAACAGGCGCAGCGTGCACAGGTCCTGTTCCCACAGGATTAAATTTGCCCTCAGAGAACACGGTCCACGCCAGCGATGCCAGGCGGAGGGTCACACGGGAACAGCGGGGAAGATATGCTCACAGCCCTATAAATATGCCAGGCCTGGCTGCCGCATGCCTATCAGAGCCGACCGGAGCGTTTTGGGTTTGTCTCCATACCGAACAAGCAAGCATCCAGCCATGAAAGGAGCAGGAGCCTTTGTACTGCTCAGCCTGGCACTTCTCTGCCTCTTTGGTAAGTGCAGGGGATGCTCTGAGTGCTGGCTCTGGCCGGCACAGCAGGATCCATGTGCAAAGAGCCCCAAAGAGCCCCGACTTTGGATACAGACCGGAGGGGCAGATTTTGAGGGGTGCATTTCTGAGCTGAGGGGACGTTTTTTCTGGTCTGGTCCCTACACTCACACAGGACCAGCTCTGACCTGCACCAGCTGCGGCCCAGACGGGTCCAGCACAGGGGAAGCCTCTCATGTCCCTTCCCACGGCCGTGGCCCCTGAAGTTGTCGGCGAGTCTGGAGCTGCTGGCGACTCCACGCCTTCTGGGGATGCTTTGTGCGGGGGCAAGATCTCCCAGGCCCTGGGTCCATTAACATAACACCTAGGCAAGGGTCCAGGGCTTTTTCCTTCTAATGCATGGCTCCCCGCAGCACACGACTGGCACTGCTTCCCTTTTGCAAGGTGAGGGCTGTAATGTCCGATTTGCCCTCCTGGCGTTGCGTTTCAGGAGCTGCTGCCAGTGAAAG